AAGCTTTATAATAATACAAGTGCCTATTTATCCAGTCTATGAAAAATCATTTAAATCATCTAAAAACATACTGTTTTTCATCTGCAGTTTTTAAGAACAGTTATAAATTGGCCACTTTGAGACCACTTGACTCACTCCCAGTCCCAAGAAGAGAGCAAAAAGAGTACGATTTATTCGTACGTGTACATGTACAGGCAAATTCTCTTTGAGAAATTTTCAGTTCAAAATATGTATAGCGACTGCCGATACGCTCGAATCGACTTGCTTAGTGCATGTGGAACAGGGAAATGGAAGGTCCTAGGGGATAAGGGGATGATTTCTGTCTTTAAGAGGTTCCCTTCTCCTTCCCCCTCGCTCTTGGATGTTCAATTCAAGCGGCTCGAGAGATCTCTCCTCCTTCCTTCTTTCACGCCGTCTACACCGGCAAAAGGCAAAAGAAACACTATAATGTCTGTCCATCTGTCAATCCGCCCCTCCTGCGTGCGTGCCTTCGATTCCTTCTGCTCCGTAAGAGACGATCGCTCTTCTGCAAAAAAGAAAAAAAAAAAAAATTTCCGGCTACTTCAGAGAAGCCCCGAGTTTTCTTTTAATTCTGAGATTGCGACATTCATTTCGAACGGCTGAAGCGGCTATCGTGATTCATGGATCTTCCGTTTTCGTTTTAAGAGAAAGGAACGATAGATAGGCTTCGTACAATTGTGACAACAGTACCTTTGTGCACTTGCACGTCCAACTCGAACGTTGGAGAATCACTGGTACAAGTATTATTTGTTCGTTGCAACTACGCGAAACTACACACTACTTGGTTCATATCGCTCGCAGGAGATTTCTTCGAAGCTCGAAAACAAAATGCTCTTTTATCGAGCGTATGGAATACCTTTGTTACTTTTGCAATAATAATTATCCGACTTTTTTTTATTAATATTCACCTCCGATCCGGCTCTTTGAAATTCATTATATCGTGGTAGTTGTCGTCTGCGATTACGTTTAATTAAATTTCTTTAATTCTTCTTTCCTCTTTATTTCCGCGTTTCATCGCGAGAACAAAGTTAAGGGAATAAACTTGAGCTTGGAAACGGACTGGCTCGTGTACCACCGTGACAACAGTGTACTGAGCACTGCCACTTTCCATTCTATTGTGTAAAAGTGGATGCGAAGTGAAAAGTACTGACCGCGCGCGGGTCTTTTTTCTGTTGCAGAGATTCTCGGCGAGGGATTTCAGTGACACGTCCGTAAGATTGGGATGACCGTGGCGATTGGAGAGAGGATAGTCCGGACGCGGCAGCTCGATTCTCGCGGCAGCACGGAGGATCGAGAATGTTATTGCGCGAGGTGCGCCGCGCGCCAACAACGCGAGGAAAACGGAACGCCTGATTGCGAACGATCAGACAATGGTTACGAGGATGTCAAACAAAATTGAAGAGCCAACGCGTGTAAAAGTGTCATGATCGATAATATCGCCGCGAGATCTGAAATGGGGACATACACGAACGATCAGCCTCTGGCCAAGTCCATACTTAGGAACCTGTCGTTCGACTATATGCAACGACCGACCGATCTGTTCTCTAGTAACGCAACCAAAGACGCCGTTACCATCCACGATGAAACCGTCTTGAACGACGTTTTCTCAAGAAGCGAGGAGGACACGTCGACCAGTACCGGTGTCGGGTACGAGTTAGGTTGGTTTAATGATTCAACAACGATAGGCTCGACGCCTTCCGGTTCCTTGTTCAGTGTATCTTCGTCGTTCTTTTCATCGGTGTCGCCGTCGTCACCTAGCTTCGACAACTACACCAGCATAACGGACCTGTTCCTCTTCGACGACTTGAACGATTACATCAATCAATTGAATTACAGCGCTTTCGTTAATTTGACGGCCTACTACGATTTGAACCTGAACGGAAGCGTGAACTGCACTTCGTCGATAGTCGCGGGTACGGCAGCTGATGTCGTTAGACCCGGAGAGTGCGGGCCAACAGCCGACGTTGATGAGGAAACGAACGCCAATAGCTGGTGGGCACTGATACTGGTGATCGTGCCTTGTTTAACGCTGTTTGGCAACGTATTGGTTATTCTCGCTGTAGTCCGAGAGAGGGCTTTACAAACAGTCACGAATTATTTCATCGTGAGCTTGGCTGTCGCTGATCTGCTCGTCGCTGTGCTCGTCATGCCTTTCGCTGTCTACGTTCTGGTGAGTCTGTGATTTCTCTTTCTTCTTGCGCAGTAACGGATGATAAAACGGGTGCCCATGCTGGAGGGAGGGCGAGTGCGGTGTAGTTAAAAGAATTCGCTAAGTGACCGATCGATGTTTCGTTTATAGCCTGCGAACGTGTCACGCTTGAAACCTTACCCTTTACCTCGATAAAAATAATAGCCGTGTCGGTTATTATTCCAACGCGACAGAATGGAAACTCTTTAATTAATTCGAAGCACATGGTGGTGTTTTTTTTTTTCCTTCAATTTGCCCAGACTCTGACGTACGGAAAAAACAACGATACTTATTATGATTCACTTGCGCGTCGTATTTAATGAACACCGATTCAGCGAATGATTTCTCTCAATCAGACTGATTGTTCTTCATTTTTTCTTCGCGACGTTAATAACCTGGCAATCGAAGCAATTTCAATTGGAAATCAATTAGCGTTTCTATTCCCGTATCGAGAAGCTAACAATTGCCCACAGATTTATCAAACAAACGATTGTCTTGTTCGAATCACAACATTCCCGCGGTTCGGTTGCGTATACCCGTCGAATGAAAATAGGATTAGTTAATTAAAGCAATTTGAGTAATTCTTCGAATGACAGCTCCTAAATTCCGTGATAGCGGTGACCTACTTCTGTTCGAAATGCTTCTAGCGAGTCATAGTGCGGATGTCAAACGAGCGTTGCCGGCGCGGCGCAATCGCATTCTTTTATGCGTGCAGTATTTATTTAACTGCCATTTTATTTACGCACGCGAATAAATTTCAATCTCTTACGCTGCAGAATAAATTTCTGACAAATTTAGCTTATTTCGCTGCGCCACGATTTATATACATTTTACGATCCTGTTTGTTCTTATTATTATTATTTAAAGGATAGAATCTCTCCAGCGCTGGTGTGTTATAATTTTACTTTACAGTACCGTTAAGTGTGTAAAATTTATGTTGCATTGAATAATTATCGGAATTCGTATACAGATACGTTTCCATTTCAAGCAAATAAGCACACTATGGGGAATTTACACGATCTGTTGAGAAATGTTGTGTTTCTCTATTTCTCTACAACTTGATGAGATAATAATTTCACGATAGTCAATGAGATAGTAGATTCCGAGGCGAAATTACGAATCGCCGAGGGATTGTAAAAATATCGTAAAAGTTGAATCTTGTGCTATTAAAGTTGTCAATATTCCATTTGCTTCGTTTCGACGAAACATTTATCCGAACGATTGCTAAAAAAAAAAAGTTTTACACTCGACAATCGAATTTATTTACGCATGAAATCGCGATGCAGCATTTTTGTGAATAAATTTAATACGATACATTTTTGTTGTCGATAATTTGATTAATTTTATATCGTATTTATAATCAAGGATCGTTTTATAATTGCGATATAGCTTTTATACGAGTTATTATATAATTCGCTCTTTCATACGTTTCGATAATGTCTCGATTGACTCTTGATCAATCGTCCAATTAATCGTTCGTATGAAATATTTGTTCCTTTCAGATATTCCAGTCGTTTTTCTTTGTTCTGGAAAATGCGTGATCGTTACGCGATTTGCCGCAACATGACGCGGCAATTTGTAAATATGTTTCGCCGTACGAACATCATAAGAATCACTCTGTACTCTAAACGCGCACATAGGTCGAAATAGTAATTGCATAGGTGACATTTACCTTACGTTTATACTGAGCAGCGTCTCTGAGCAGAGTCGCGACGGTGTTGGAGTATAATTTACAGGGGAACAAGGATAATTTATTCCACGCGACCAGCATGAAACGTAATGACCGCTAAAGATGTACTTCGCGGAATATGCATGAGGGACTCTGAATTCGGAGGCACGATTTGTCGAGGAAGTAACGAAAGCAAAAGTCGCGTTTACAGGAAATTAGAGTAACCACGAGCTAATTACGGGCGAAAGTTATCCCCGGAAGATTCGACGACACGTGAACCGTATCGGCTTTGCAAATGGAAAGCGTGAGATTTTATTACCGAATTAACTTTTAGAAAATTTCCAATAATCTGATAAAGTTCAGTCGATGTTAAGCAATTACGTTAACCTCATCCGAACAGATTTTGATATCCTGCAAAAAATCTATAACCGCTTGTCGTTTGCATAAGCGAGCAATCCACGACTCGCTCGCGATAATCCCCGCCGTTCTGTTTTCATCGTTACTTGGTAATTTTTTTCGACGTCGAACTGACCGACGCAGCGAGCGGCGGCATGTTTCGGCCTCTTCTATCGGCTTGATAAAACCGAGACGTCCCGGGCTGGATATTAACACGGCACAGCGTACTAAAATCCCTCGTCGACCGCTTAAACGATCGTTCGCGAGTTTCGCATTAAACAGTTTAGCGACGTGTGTGTGCGCGCCTATATAATGCGTCGCAACGATGATAATGTCGCGATTCTCGAGTCGCGCTACGATCGAAGCACTTTAGTCGGTTGCCAACGCGAACCCTCTCGCGTTCCGGGACTCTCAGTTTTACGAAACGCCGAGAAACTGCGCCGTCTGTGCGATGCTGCGTTCGCGGAACGCGCGAGAGAATTATGAAACAGCTTTCGGGTTGATTAACGAACAATTACATTTTCAATTACATTGCGATTATATCTTTGCCAGACGATTAATAACATTCACTTAATTTTGTCCCTGTTTTAAGAGGAATTTCGAAGAAGACGTTCCCGAAGGAATATACCTGGCCGGGAATATTCTTTTTCGTGACTCGAACTGTTGATTGGTAATTCATTTTTATCGATCCTTCGTTAATTCCGAGCTCACACGATTACTCAGATTAGAAGTTTCAAGGATTTTTGAAGTCTTCGCTGGTGATGTTATATGGGCTATCGCTAGTGTTTCGTTGCACAACAATTTTAATTCCTTTTTCAATTTTCCCGGCACGATTCACCTTTGACCGAAGCAGGTAAATTCATTAGCCAACAAAGATGGAGAATAAAGTGTAAATAAAAAAAAAAAAA